TATAATATTGTTTCATAATTATTTAAACCGTTGCGCCGATTAAAATTATTTTATTTTACATAAATAAAAAATTTATTTACATAAAAGAATTTTAAATAATAAGAAAAATTTTTGCTTATAATTATTTTATATAATTGTATTATTTTTGCACATAATTTTTTTTTTCTAATTATTTAAACTTCATTCACAAATTGCTTATTAAATCTTATAAATTTGATCAATTAGAAAAAGATAGAACGTAAGCAAATAAAAATAAAACAAAAATTGAAACATATTAGCATGTATATCATAAATTATATTAATTATTTATAAATTATTCATAAATTCATAAAAATCTGATTGCTAATTGAGTATTTAAATTTCTCATAAACTTGTTCATCAATTAAACTAGCAGAAAGTAAAGTAGATATAAAATTTCTAAACAATAGAAGTATATAAGAAAACATTGGATTACAGTTTAATAATTGCAAAACCATAAAAAAAAAATACCTAAAAAAGCTGTAGTAAAGCCAATCTAAATGTATGACGCAATTATTAAATTGCATATATTTTTGTACAAAATGAAAATTTATTATAATTATAATATTATAAGCTAGGTAGTTAACCAAACTATCACAGAATATTATCTATTAAATCTTGATTACTTGTTATTAGAGAAGTTTCTTAACTATAGCTAATTATGAATTACATCATGCCTATTATTTTTGGTTAGAAAAATTTTATTCAATAGCAAGTATATGTTTAAAAATGAAGTAGTTCATATATTTCGAAAAACATAGAATCTATTCTGTAATTTTTATGGATATTCAAATTTTTGATTATATAATATACAAGCCTCTTTAAAAATTTCAAATCATTTTGTTATAGAATAAATGAGTTATATATATAATGAAAGCTACTTTAATATGTCTGATATAATAATGTTACAGGATTTATTTATTATATTAATTATATATATATATATATTTTATATTCCACTTATTTCCCATAAGTGGAAGATGTTCAGATAATCATATAATGTTAATAGTATAATGTTAACATATTCATGGAATATTTTTTGGGAATCAAAAAAAATATAAAAATTAATATCTATTATAATAAACAAAAATGTCAATTCAAGTTTATTTATTAAGTTATAATTTAAGTTTATATTAGATGATTAAAATAGATTTATCTTCGTTATATTATCGCGTTATCTTGTTTCATCGTCTTGTTTTATTTAACACAAACTTATATTGTTAATAAATAAGCTTCAATTAATATTTTTGTATAGTAAATTTTGTTTGTTTTCATTTTTAAAATCGATCTTTCAAAGATGTTCTATATGTCCCAAATTTGCCATTTGTTCAACATTTTGAGACATTTTATATATTAAACCTAAATATATTCTCAAAATTTCATATTTTTTTAAAATCTTGAATTGAAAGAAATTTCTTTATATATTAAACCTAAATATATTCTCAGAATTTCATAATTTTTTTAAATCCTGAATTGAAAGAAATTTCTTTTAAGTAAATCATAATTTTTTTTTTCACAAATTGTAATGTATTTATCAGAAATGAAAAATAAATATATAAATATATTTATTATAATTAAAGATAAGATAAGAAATGTTTTAACATTACATATATATATTTCTTTATTTATCTGCAATAAAAAGAATTATCTGACTTGGTTTCATACTATATTTCGAACAAATAATATAATTGTATATGTAATATAATTTAAGATTTGATATATTATTAATATATCTATTATAATCATTTTATTTTATTTTTAAAGCATTATCTAGGAAATTCTAGATTTACATAATAATATAAATATATTTATTCTTATTGTTGTTAAATTCTAATAAATTTGTAATTGTTTGAAATTATATAAATCACATATTTTTTCAATGATTTCCAGAAGTTTTTATGAACTATATTTTCACATATATTTAAATTTTTTTTAAGATTTTCAATTTGAAACAGAAAATCTTTGAATTAAATCATTATGTGTACAATGATCGTGATGAAATATTACATTCTTCTCAATTATTAATTAGCACATTTTCATTTGAATATAAAATTTATTATATTTTTTTATTATAAAAATTCTATTAACTAACATATTTTCATTTACATATAAAATTTATTATTATAAATAAATATAAATATCTTTACTAATTCAATACAATAAATTAATATCAAGATTGTTCGATTTCTAAATTGTAATATATGGATATTTTCATATTTTAATGCTGTTTTACATGTTATTGTTTGAGAAATTCATTTTTGTAAATCTAATATTAAGAAGTTCTATTAAAATAAATTTTATTTATTTTTGTTTAAATAAATCATTTAGCTGATTACTCAATTTTATTACATTCTTTTTTATATATATATAAAAAATGTATATATTGGATATATTGGATAAACGATGCTTTAATAAATTATTTACATTTTCAATTGAATTTTGTAATCAGTTCTTTTAAAAAGATAATTAAAATAATTCAAATAAAAATTTTTATTATTTCGAATACATACAATAAAAAAAAAATAAAAAAATAATTTTTTATTTGAAAAATTTTTATTGTTTCTTATGTAATAAATTTTAGACATTTTTTATTATTTATTTTTTATTTTTTCAGAATGGTGTCAACATATTTAGTCCATCACGGTTATTGTGCTACTGCCGAGGCATTTGCCAATAGTACTGGTCAAGGATTTGAAGAAGATCTTAATTCCATTAAAAATAGACAAAGTAAGTATATAATAATCATTTTCGATATTTTTTATCAATTTATGTAATTAAGAAAATAATTGCATTGAACTAATGAATTGAATATTTGTTATTAAAACTATTTAATAGAATAAATTTATTGTGACATAATAAATAAAATATATTTTAAAAATATATTTAATACATTTTAAAAATTAATTATACTAAAATTTTATAATACAAAATAATTTAAAAAAATAAAAAATTCTATTTTATTAAAAATTATCAAAATAATTATATATATTATGTATTTTTATATATTATTAATTATATATATAAAATATTATATATAATATATATAACGTCTTTTATTACAGAAATTTTGAAATTGGTATTGGCAGGCAGAATGGGGGAAGCAATAGAATTAACAAGTCGACTGTATCCAGGTCTCCTCGAACGAGATCCAAATCTTCTTTTTGCTCTTAAGTGTCGACAATTTGTTGAAATGGTGAATGGTAGTGATTCCGAAATTACTCAAAATTCCAATATTAATCAAACTAGTGTTATACAGTCTACGAAGGCTTATACGAAATCCTCAGTGAATAGCAATATTGAGGAAATGAATATGAACAACGCTATGAATGGTTCTACCGAACAACAATTAGTTAATGGACAAATTGAAAATGATGTAGATATGGAAGAAAATGTCATAAATGGCATGAAAAATAATACTGAAAATGGTTATCAAAATAATGATTTGAATACTAATGGATACAAATGTCAAAATGGAGAAGATGTCGACATGGGTGAGATATTATTGAGTTATTTTTTATTAATCGCGTTTATTAAATTGTTAGAAAAAATTAAGAAGTGATAAATTCTTCGAGAAATCGAGATAGAATAAGAACTCTCTAGAATAATCTGAAACTTCACAAAATAATTCTTTTAAACAATGCGTTTGTTATTTGTAACAGTATTTATTTCTCTTCTAATTTGAATACTTATTTCAAATTAAATTAATTAATGATTCAAAGAGAAAAGAATTAAATAAAAAGATATTATTCTAAATATATACGACTTTTAAATTTAATCAATGTTTTCATTTCCTTCATTAATAAATCAAAAAAATCTCTATAATATTTTATTTATCCTTCTATTTTAACAATTATAAGAATTTTTAAGAATTTATATTTATCTAGAATATTATTTGATAAATGATGATATAAATATTCAATTATTTGTGAAATATTTATTTATTATAATAAATAATTTTAAATAGAAATTTTTAATATCATTTAAAATATAATTTTAGAATGATTTCTAAAATAAATTTTGATATGTCACTAGAAACCAACAATGTTAGTCAAATTCAACAACAAAATGGTAATTGTAATATGGAGAATATATCAAATAAGAATAACAAGAAACAACTTTGTGGCGGTGATAAACAGGCAATTGAAAAGATGTTGGAATTTGGAAGACAATTATATTCCCAATCGATACATTTGCGACAACAACACGGAAAAAATGAAAGCAATAAAAAGATGCTTCAAGATGCATTCAGCCTTCTAGCTTATGCAAATCCATGGAATTCACCAGTTGGTTGGCAACTCGATCCTCAACAAAGGGAAACTGTTTGTGCAAGACTTAATTCTGCCATACTCGGTAAGCGCATCACTGTAATACTTATTTGCATATTATATTTATATAACATAGAAGAAAAAATTTATATAACATAGATTATATAATAAAATAAAATAAAATTATGAGATTATTTGCAAAATTATTGCTTATATTTATTTAATTATTGTTTTCATGGTTTAAAATTTAAAAATTTACATTTTATTACAATATATTACAATTTTTAAAATGAAATTAAATATAAATAAAAATATTTAATCAAAAATATAATTATTAATTAAATTTAAAAAATAAATATCAAATAATTTGTTTACTTTTTTATTTTTTATTTAGGATAGCAATACTGATGAATATTGAAATTTTGAAATTTTATAAGATAGCAATTATTTACTGTTATATGTTTGAGTAAAAAATATGTTGAGTAAAAAAGTAAAATTATATTTAAATAAATATTTTTTATATTAAATTAATTTGATATTCATATTTTTATTTCTAATTAATCAATTTTTTAATAATTTTTTTATAATAAATTTTTAATAATAAAATTCAAATTATAATAAATCTTCTGATGAAATGATTTCTTACTTAGATCTTAATAATTATTTATTTTATTAAATAAAATTATTTTATTGAATTATCATTCAATCATTCTAATTTGAATATCTTATTATTATTTATATTTTATCTATTATTTTCTAATGTTTTTAATTTAACATTTTTGTAATTTTTAAGTTCTATTATTTTAATCATATATGAAATTATTTGATTATTTTATTTCTAATTTTTCGGTTTTTTAAATTCTAAAAAACTATTTGATTATTCACAATTTAAAATTTTTATTAATAATAATCAATTTCTATTAATTTACTATCAATTCTTTTAATTTGATTATATTGTATTACATTTAGTCTATAATTTTCAATTTATATTCAAATATTATTATATAATTTATATTAATTATTTTATCAAATTATTTTTCTATATATTTTGTAATCTATATGAATATAAATATTTTATAGTAATAATTTAACTATTTTATTAGACTATAGATATGATCATTCTATTTTTATTATATTATAATAAAAAATATTTATTAAAATATTTATTATAATATTATTTTATTATAATTTATTTTCTTGTTGGATTATATTTTATCCATTTTTATCTTAAAAGACTAGTAAAATTATAAAAAAAATATTTCATTTAATATAAATAGATTTAATATAAATACAATAATAATTGGATATATATTCAATTTTGTTTCCTTCTTGAAATTATATAATTTTTTAAAAATGAAGAATAATAATTTTTCACGAGTAATTCATTGAAATAATTTTATCATTTACAATATTTACTTTACTGTTAAATATTAAACAATATTTTGATTAAAAATTATAATATTGCAAAAAGGATTATAATCTTGTAATATAAATAACATGTGAATAATATTAATACTCCTTTGTTCATGTTTTCTTATAATATGTCTTTCATATAATAAATTTTAAAAAATTTCAATTAAACTAATAATTTTTTTGTTAAAAATAGATTAATATTTCTCATAGATAACAAATTACTGGCATATTATAATTAAGAAAGAAACAAATTATATATTGTTTCGAATTAATTAATTTTTATTTTTAAAAATATTTCAATATTATCTAAAATAAAAAAAGATATTTTTTCAAGTAGTCTATCTTGTTTGTATTTTGTAGTTTATATAACTATAAATTTTTATTACTATATATTTATTAACATTTAGAAAACATAACATATATACTAACATATATACCTATATTTAAATATAATTATGATTTAAATTATAAGATTTATAATTTCAAAATATAGTGAATTTTATAGTGAATATATTAATAATATAGTAATATTTGAAAATATAAAATTCTTACAAAAATTCTTTAATTTTTTCATCAATAGTTGAATATTCATATTTATTTACATACTATTTTTAAGAAAAAAAATATATGTATATATTATTTTTATTCTTTAAATAATCTAATTTTATAATTGAAAAACATTCTATATTTTATTTTATATTTATATTTTATAATAATATGGAAAATCATATACTTTTAGAATCGAGTAATTTACCCCGACGACCACCTTTGGAAGTGGCCGCGTCTCATGCAAGAGAACTGGTACGATTGATGTCTCATGCTGGTCTTGGGGCATGCGGTTTCGCGGTCGTAGACAATATCATTCAATATTGACGATGCCTACCCCTGCTGCCACGTCTGCTTCTTCTGCCGGCTCGAGTTTGGTTAGTAATTTTCTTATGCGTACATTACGCATCGATTAGGAGAAGCTGGGGATAGTTGATACCCGCATTATCATATGTTATAGAAATTGCCCTATAACATAATCGCGGTTTGTAGTCTTATAATTCTATATCATCGAGAAAAAAGAAAAAATGAAGCAGAAGTCATTTTTAATATAATAAAATCAGTATCTTTGTAATAAGAAGAGGATCATATATTATAGTTTATACAAATGTTTAATTTTATTTATTTTATTTTTGCTGATAATAGAATATTTGTTCTCTGTAAATTGAATAAAGCATTTTGATTTTCGATCATTGATCTGATTTTGATCATTTCAAAAATCAGTTCTTTTCACTGATTTTTATCTTATTTTATTTTCATTCTTATTCTGTCATGTTTTCTAATTGAATTGATTCTTTATTTTTTGTGATGGTTTTTGCAAACAATTTGTGATATTTTATTGAACATGATATCTTTTTTATTTTATTACAATTTTCTTTTGTAATTAAGACACAGTTTTCATACAACATTCAAACATTAAAATACATAAAAAAAAAAAAAAAATGAACGTTGCATCCATCTTTTAACATATCATAGCATTATGTTGTAAAAGAAAAAAATAATAGATGTAGTTCATATAACAGCTTCAATGTCTTACAAAATAATGCAGATGTTAAAAAATGGATATTATGTTTTTTAATGACGTTTTTTTAATGATCTCTAAAAATTACTATTAAAATACTATTAATATTATTTCTTGTTGATTAAATTGATTCAAATAACAATCTACTATGTTTTGTTTCTTGAAGTTTTGTAATAAAGTTTTTGAATGACAATAATAAATTTATGTTTGTAAATTGTTATAATTGACATTGTTATTATTATGTGTATATGAAAAGAAGCTGATTATAATTATAAATCATGTAATTTTATCATATGTGATGATTTGTGAAAATTACTGAATTAATATTTTTAATGTATCAATTATCCCTAAATTCTTAACCGATAAGAAGATTTTTGCATATTTGTATAATTTTTATTCCCTTTATAGATAATGATTCATTTAATCATCCACATAATTTATGATCATTTATATCCATCTTGTAATGAGAATGAAAGAGTGCATGGCTCTTTAGTTGAGATCATTATGTAATCTAGTTTTTAATTCTTCTAATATAATTGTCACATATTTGACTTTATATATATTTTTCTAAAATTTTATGAGGTTTTAAAATACAATATTGTCTTATTAAATCTTTTAATACTTTAATGTAGTATTATTTTATATTTTTATATGTAAGAGAAATCAAAATTGCATTTTTTTTTTAATTTTCTATATTCATAAGTGCATAGTTGCAATTAGAAATTAAAATATATAAATATGAAATTTTTTTACATGAATTAGTTTTATCTCTGTACCTGCGATAATAATGCAATACAATATAAATATAATATAAATATAATTTTGTAATTAAATGCTTTATGAAATTTTTTTCTCTTGAAGAAATTGTATCAGTTAGTAAATTTTGATTGTGAGAAATTTTTAATTCGTATAAATAAAGTTATTCCAATATTCAACATTAAAGAATGAATTTTGAAACATTATGTTATATTTTCAAAATTATATATTTCTAGTTTTTTTCTAATATTTTATTTATATAGTATTATATATATTTTTTATTAATTACCATATAATTAACTGATAATAAGAAATTGTGAATGCTTTTTTCAAAATTTCATCTATATTTTGTTATATAATTTTTTATTAATTTTTACAATACTTATTATATAAAAGATAGTTTAAAGTATATTTTAACGATTAAGTTTTAAATTTTATTTATTTTATTAGTTTTTTAATTTCATATTAATCATTACATTTACATTTAACTTTTCTAAACGAGTATTAGAAAAAAACTAAATTTAAATAAGTTAAAACAATTTTTTTATGAATTATCAATTAGTTAAAATGTTCAAATTATTCTTATTAATTATTATTTTGATTAAAGATAAAAAATTTTTAAGATTTTGATTTTGCTTTTTTATTGTGTTATAGTTTGTTATATTGATGAAAATAAAATAATTTTTCTGTTACAAAACGAAATCATTATTATATACCTACATATTAGAAATTAAAATTATAATTTTTTAAATTTTATGTAAAAAAAAAACAAAAAAAAAATAATATAATATAACAATATAATATATTATAACAACAGAAATAATATATTATAACAATATAATAATATAACAATAGAAATACTTTAATAAATATGTTATCGTAGATAACATATAATAACTCTCTCTATAAATATTTATATTTGAATATTAAAATAAAAATAGTATTAATAGATATTAATAAATTAATTTTAATAAAATAAAATCATTTCTAACAAAATTTTAATAAATAAATATGAATTTATGAAAATCAATGATTTCTAGACTAGATCTTTTTTACGTACAATAATGATATAATATAATATAATATAATATAATAATATAATATAATATAATACAATATAATATAATATAATACAATGTAATATAATATAATACAATACAATATAATATAATATAATATAATATAATATAATATAATATAATATAATATAATATAATATAATAATATAATAATAATAATATAATAAAATATATATCTAATGATAATATTATTACATAATAATATAATTTATTAATAAATAAATCAGAATATATTACACATTAAAAAAATAGAAAAGAATAATTTTTGCTTAATTAATATAAATATTTTTTGAAAAAATGTGATTTTTCGTTTTAAATTATAATATGAATATAAATGAATGAATATTTATATGAATGAAATTTTCAAATTCATTGTTATATAAGTATATTGAAACTATTATTAATGTAATAATGATGCTATATTGTCAATGTTTATATTAACCATAGTTTTTTATAAATATTTTCCATAAAATTTCATAAAATTGTTTTTTCATGAATGTTTTTATATTAATATTAAAGATATTATTTATTATATATATATAATATTTCATAAATTACTGAAAAACAAATTATTTTAATATTGATATCTTATATTGTAATAAATCAGTTTCTATATTTAATATTTAATTTTAAAATGTTTAATAGTTAAATCAACTTCTCAGATTGAATACAGATTAAATATGATGAAATATTTACAAAGTTTAGCTTGTTAATAACAGATGATTATTGAAATTATTTGATGAATTAAAAAAATCATATTGTATGTGATTCGGTATTTTCGGACGTTTTCAATAATTTTAAGAATTTTGAATGATAAAAAGATTATATCATTATAAATGGAAATTATTTTTAATAATTTGATTAAATAAATTTTAAGAAATTAATTTTCTATGTTATTCGATATGTTTATATTTTGAAAAGGAAAAGTTTTTGGATTTATGTTTACATTATCTTTTTTCAATATCGAAATTTGGCTATATTTTTGAAAATTGAAAGTTATTATTCATTTGAAAATTAATTATGATATAGTATTTAAATGAATAATATTAGCTTTTTCAAATTAAATATATTCGTGAGATATTTTAAAGGATCGATTCTAACTAAAACAAAATGTTATATAAAATAAAAGTAAATAATAAAAATATCAATTAAGGTTTATTTATTAAGTTACAAATAACTTAAGTTTGTATTAAATAAATCAAAATGTAGATAGATTTAATTTCTTCACATTGTGAGGTTTTATATTCTCTCTATTTTGTTTCATCTAACATAAATTATTTATATTATTTTATATCTAATAAATAAAAATCTAATAAATAAAAGTCTTAACTGATATTTTTATTAATAACTTTTAGAATTGTTTATGTTTGTTTTAGTCTTTAAATTTTTTAGAGTCGCACGAATATATTAATATATGAATGCAAAATCCATCATTGTTTTTATTTTTGTTTATAAACTAAATTATTTTGTTTATAAACTGTTTATACTTGTTTATAAACTATTTATTTATTTATTAAAAAACTACTATATTGATTAATCTTTCATATTAATTTTTAAATTTATAAAAAAGATAAAAATGTGATTGCAAATATAAATTTTAATATTTTATAAAAATAAATTAAAGTAAAATTTAATATTCTAAAGCAAAAAAAATCGAATCATTAATGGGTTTCTCAAAAGACAAATTAATCAATTTTAATTTCTATATATTTTTCAATATCATCATCATCATCACTTGAATGCATACTTTTTAATTTAGAAAAAAATTATTTAATTTAATAAATTTACTATGTATGATAAGAAAATATAAATAAAAAATATAAATTATGTAAAATAATTTAAATTTCAAGATATACTAAAAAATAATAAATATCTGGAATCTATAATTTTTTTTCTATTTTTCAATTCATAAATTTAAACGATGTAGTTTACTTAGTTTTAATTAAATTTATTTTAGTATTTTTTATAATATTATAAAAAAAATATTTTTATTCAACATATATATATAAATAATAATATCTTTATTTTAATTGTTCATATTAACTATTTTTCTTAAATTTTAAAAACTGATTTATTTCACATTTAATCTCTATCAAATTATTTTAAATAAAATAATTAAATTATTAAAAATCTGAATCTTACAAATCATCTTCAAATTCATTCTTTAATAAATTAAACATCAATTCCTGTTGATGTAAGTATATATAGTAAAATTAGTTTTTAATATTTGTCTATTTGATTTTAATTATTATTATCAATTAAAATTTTATTTCATTTGATATTGAATCATAAGATGTAAATAATAAATAATATGATGATATGAAATAATAAAAAATAATTTCACATTTAGCTGGGATCGCTCTGATATCAAATATTTTTCATAAAGTGAAAATTATATGGTTAAATACATTTAATTTCTTATAATTATATGCTAATGAAAAATTTATAACTAATTTATATCGGAAAAATTGAATATAGTTTCAAATTATATCAGAAATACGTATATTTATATTATTTTTTTTTTTGTTTTAGGATGTGGAGACGGAACGTGGAGCAGATTATATTTTTGCAGCAACAACTTCGCGATATCGCGTGCCTCTTTAGCTAGAGTTTAGCAATTGGCTCTCTAGCTCAATCTTACATTGATACACAAGAGTATAATATAATACACATATACAAGACCTATCAAAAGTACTCGATGTTACAGCAAAGAGAATGAAAATAAGAATGATTGTTAACTTCAATGATTATTCAAGGATCATTGTATAGACATAATTTCAGTTTTCTAGAGCCAAAATATGAAAACTGATATATAATGAATTGAAGTATAGAAAAATCGATCTTAAAGATCATGAATGATGATAGGAAAAGGATGATAAATAATAAAAAGAGTCAAAGAATTAGATGGCGTTGATAGTTAAGAAACTTAAGAATAATATAAATACACTTTCGAAGTTGGAAGTGAGATTTTTTTGACTATAAGATGATTCTGAAGGCATTGATAATTGAAGATAAAGGAAACTTAGTGATGAGAATGCGAATAAACTTGAGGAGGATATCTACACCTGCCAAGACGACCCTTTTCTCGTTTTCTCTTTTTAGCCCTATAATTCATCATCATTTTGATATTTTTCCTTCGTTCTCATAATTGATCGCCATCAAGTTTCCGAGTTGTTTTTTGCAATGGGATGTGCTTTTGTATTTTCATCTAATTTATGATCATTAGACAATGAGAATCTCCAGGTGGGTTTCTAATCTCATTCATTTGATTTCCTCTATTTTGACATTTTATTTCAATTTTTTGTCGTTTGATATCACATTTGTTGCTCCTGTACTATTCAATTAAATCTAATTTTCTAAAATTTTAGACTAAATCTTTATTATATCAGTTACGTCACTTATAAATGTTTGATTGAAATATTAATTAAAAAATTTTAATTCCATTTAATATTCACAAATATTGTATTTCTAAATGAATTTTATTCTTAATGCATTGCCCCATTGTTCATTCTATTATTTTTATTAATATTTAATTTTTTTTTTTACGAAATTTTTAATATTGTATTTCCTTTCGCATAACTGTTGACGACAGAGTAGCATTCCTTTTTTATCAAGAAAGTTTAACGAGAAAAGAGCTTCGTCAACATAAGTACGATTAATTAATTCTTCATCGATTATCCTGATAGCCTTTTTAATCGTATCATCAACGAGTCGATTTTTGTATCAATTGTTAGCTTTTAATGAAAATAAAAAAAATATGTAAAAAAAAAAGGAGAAAAGAAGAAAGAAAACATAAAAGTCATACATAAAAAATAATATACAAATAAAAAAAGAATATTCTTCGATTATCTTTTCATTATTGTAAATTAAGATTAGAAATGGTATAAGAATCACGTTTCCGGTTCGATGATCGTTTTATTTTTATCTAATTTTCATAACAAGAAAGAAACTAATGCGTGAAGAAGTAATAATCCAAAACTTTAAATCATTTTCTTTTCTTTTTTTTATTCGTTTTTTTTCTCTTCTTTAATTGCCTTATAAATATTTATTAATAGTTCCGAATTGTAATAACCGATTAATGATCGTTAAGTATTTTCGTTTCGATTTTACTCGTCTTAGGTTCGATTGGATAAGTAAAAGAAAAGGAGCAAGAAAAAAATTGTGTATTAGTGATATGTACCATGTGATTACAAGAGATACTTTATAAAAAAAGAAAAATAAAAATAACGAAGAAAAGTATGTTAAATTGTCGAGCAAAATCAATAAAAAAAAGAAAATAGAAATGAAGAAATATATGATCCTGAATGATTGTAAGTATCGAAAACTATGGCAGTTATACAGTGAAAATTAATAAAAGTTGTATAATTACATAGAACGTTGTAAAATATGCGGTATTTTATATATTTCTTTTTAACAGTTAATTTAATTAAAATATTTTGTGTTAAAATATTAAAAAAGTATCAGTAATTCAATACTTTAACAAAAATTATTTTTGAATAGAAAAGAATAATATTTCAGCATTTGATAGCATTTTCAAAACAATTGTTTAATTGTATGAAAATAAAATTTAATTTAGAGTCAATAAGTCATTTTAAATTTAAGTTTGCGAAAAATTGTTGAAAATTTTTATACTTAACATAATGTTAAAACTTAGATCTAAATTAAAATGGTTGTTCTCTCGAATGCATAGGTTGTATACTTAAATCGATTAACACAATTCAATAAAGATGACATTTTATAATAAAAATTATATAGAATTTCTTAATTTGTCATTTCTTAATTTAATTTATATTTTTCGATATTGAAACAAAATTAATCATTTCGTTAAAATTAGAATTGCACTAAAATTTTTTTTAACATTGCAAAAAGGGAAACAAAAGATACACATAAGGACTTTACTTAAATCGATAATAAATTTTAATAATTATTAATAAGTGAACGAAAGAAGGATCTTTGGCTATGAAAAGAGGGAACGATTATAAAAGTTTATATAAAAAAGAATAGTAGAAAATGGAATAAGAAAGATATAACAAAATATAATATAATAATAATATTAACAACTACGATGAAGATTCAAAAGAAACACTCAATTAAATTGAAAAGCTGAAGAAAAAAATTAAATAAATCAATTAATAACTATCAAATCAATAAATAACTATAAATATATATATATATATATACGTATATGTATATATAGTTAATATATATATAATATATATATATATATTGTGAAACAATCTTGTATTCTATCATAAGTAATTTGTTTTTTATATGCGACATAGTATATTATATTATTATGTAATACATGATACATATGTACATGTAAACATATGTATGCATACATGCAAAAGTATATAAACATGTATATGTGTATAAATAAAAAAAAGGAAAAAACGAAAGAATTAATATCGTATGAATTAATAATGAACGCGTGAGATTTCAAAGAAAAAATTTTGTTATTCATTTTTATATGTGTGTGTATATATATGTATAGAGTACACATATCCTCGTGTATTGTATACATGTGCGTGCACATTCATTTCGTTCTACATGCATATATACAGACATGAGGAACGATTAAAAAAACGAGTGATCTCGAGAATGAAAGAAAGCAAGAGAGAAAGAATGAGAGACTGTGTCTGACTGAATTTATTGATTCGGAATGATCGCTAAAAGAATAAAAAATATAATTTATCGATTTTTAGTGTTAAACGTTTTCTGTACTATAGATAGAGCGAATATCTTGCGAATAATACAGTATGATTTGGAGACATTATTCATTGAATTTTGTTTTTGTCATTCATTGCAATAGAAACCCTGTATTTTTTTTATCTAAAGTTACTTTTATCAGAAAATAGAAATATTTTTATCATTATAGTAGAAATATTTTATGATCATTTTTTTATTTTTTAAATTATAAAAAATATTAATTTATATGAAAATGATATTATTATTTTTTCTTTTTAAAACAATAGTATTTTATTATTAACTCCGAATCAATATTAATAGAATTAACATTATTTTATTAAGAATTGACTGATTTTTACTATAATTAATTTAATTTACTTATCGACGTTAATCTTTGTGCGTCTTTATCGTATTTTTCTTTGAAAGTAAATATATATGTATTTTATTTAGTAAAAAATATAAATGTATACATAATATTTATATTAATTTTTATAATATTTAAATTAAGAATTTTATTAATTTTTATTATTTTTATTTTTTATTTTCTTTTTTTTTATTATTATAATTGAAGATTTCTATATTATCCATTATATATTTTATCTAATTGATATGACCAATATTCGTTTATACCGATATAGTTAAATTACCACATGTTGGTCATCATGTAAACATTACATTTTCTAAACAACTATTTATAATTGAAGTTCATTTTAGAGAATCATTAAGTTTTTATCTATGTTTTGTATTTATCAAGAGTTATATATCTTTAAAAATGTGTATTATTAATATATACAAATTTGACATATGTAATACAACGAGTCAGCAAATATTATAAATGAAGTTTATAATAATAATAATGAAGTATAGGTGCAGAGATATAAAATAGATGAAATTACAAGCTAGATATAAGATCTCTTATAACATAATATATAATGCATTTTTTTATCCTATGATTTGAAGACTGTAGAGCTGCTTTATCATTTGAATGTCACTCCCAATATTATCGATTCAACGCAGAATAAGACTGCAATATTCGTAGTGGCTAGAATTAAAATTACATTTTAATATGAAATTACAAATAAAATTTACAATGGATAGTCTTGTATACTTAAACATAGTATAAAATTTCATATTAAAATGTATATATTCTTGTATTTAGAAATTATTATAAAACAATTGGCTGAAACAATGATTTTATATAAAAAATATGTTTTTAATTTTTTTATATACTTATCTCGAATTTAATATATTATAATTGCAAAAATAAGTTTCTTTTTTTTGAAAATATTAATCTAAAAAATATAATTTTTTACATACAATAACTTAAGGACTCTTTATAGTTATCTATTATAATTTAAAAAATTAATTTTATTAATTAAAAATTGAGTACATTTTCTTAAATAAAATATTTTTAATATTCGATCAAATATTTAAAATAATTGAAATTTATATGATATTATATACCAAGTGGTTATGTATAACTAAGTGTCATCTTGATTGGATTAATTTATTTTACTTTATTATTTTAATTTTGATTGAATAAATTTTATGACATCAATTTTGGATGAAATTGCAGAAAAGTTATTTCGTTTCCTTTTTGAAATATTTATAAAAAAATTGTTTTAATTTTATTATTATTATAAAATTTTGTCTATACATATATGCCCTTATAAAGCAAAGATAATACTATTTATTTATTCGTTTTATACATTTTGCAACGGCGTCCAAAATGTATAATGGATCGATTAAAGAAAAAGCTAGTTTTTCATGAATTATGATGGGTCATAGATTAAATCTAAAAACTGAATTTGATCTACCGAAAGCTAAAAATTAAACGTAAAATAATCTTTGTTGTAATTGAAATTACAACAAATAATATTAAAAATGATATTAACATTTATTATAATTTCGGCTATTTTAATTGATATAGAAATAATTATTTATTGTGAATAATTATAAAAGTTTTAAGTTATATTTTTTAAATCTTCGAAATTTGTAACGTTATATTAATTATTGCAGTTCAAACATAGAAATATTTCAGTTTAAAATTTAAACTAAAACGCATCATATCAATTTCATAAATGAATTATATTATGATCTCAGCATTTAAATAAAAGAGAAATCGCAAATTTCATTACTAAATATATCAATAAACTAGAAATTTATTCAAATTCTCAAACAACAATTTTCCTGTAAAATTACTTATAAATAAGAAGATTTAAAAAACAACATAATAGATGTTTCACATTGTTTTTCAAACAAGCATAGTTTTTAAAATAAGAAACGATGTACAAAGTCTAAAGAAGATATATATATATATAATGATGCTTGCATAAATAATACTACAGAATTAATCTCTATCAATTATAAAAACAATATTTGTTAATGGTTTGTTGTGTTAATGAAGCAATTAAGTTTTACAGTTTCGTTTGCTATCGTAATTCGAACATTAGTTTGTAAATTTTTTTAGAAGTTATTCGATTTTTTTTTTACATGACAAAGAAAAAAATATACAATTTAGAGAGAGCAAATGATAATGAAAGGAAAAGAATAATAATGAATCAAAGAAAATAAATATGATGAGATATTTATATATAAAGTCATAATATTATTATTATTATCAATTTAAAAACATTTTTATTATATTATATTTAGTTATATTTCCTCAATAAAATCGTAAAAATATGATAAAAATATTATCATATAAATATTTTTATAAAAAAAATCAAAATTATAAGAATTTAATTTTTCTTAAATTAATGTTTAAATATTTTTGCTATTAAAAGAACCGAAATACATAATTGACTAATTATAAAATGATCGTCTTTTTGAAAACAATTGTTTGTTAGTTACAATCAATTATTTAATTATCATTAATAAAGACATTATTATATATATATATATATTTATATCATTATATCATAGTCTTTCACAAGAATCTAAAGATATTTGTACTGCAATTACTGCAATAAAAACTAAAATAGTAAAATTAAATTAAAAAAAATGTTAAAATATAACAATTTATTATATAATGGATTATATAAATTTATTAATATAAATAATTACAAATAATATAAATATTAATAATTAGTGAACGCTATATTATTCTATATTATTATATAGAAAATTAAAATATTATTTTTCTCGTTACTTTCGTGATATCATCATTGATTTTTTTATTGAAACGATTGGTGTTGATTATTTCTCGTGTAGCCAATGCAGTAACAATATTGTCGATGCACTAATTTGTTTATATGCATAAAATAAATTGACAAAATAATTTATAAGTGGCAGTCAAATGCTGACAAATATATTGCTACGAATGTATACATATAACCAAAATTCTACAAAAAAGCAATCTTTTTTTGCAAATATTTCGGAAACTGATCGATAATTATATGTACAGAAAAAAATTGTTTAAAATATTAATTTTTACAATATATTAAAAAATCATTGAAATTAGTATTTTGAGGATAAACTTTTAAAAAGAATAATTAGATAATTTTTAATTAGAGAATAAATATATAATTTTCGATTATATAATTAAAAATATTCTAATAAAATTATATTAAATAAATTATTATAAGAAACAAATTTTTATAAAACAAATTTGATAATGTTTTCATTATACCATAGCAAAAAAATGAGCATAAATTTTTTTTTAATTAATAAATAAATGTTAAATAATTTTATTTAATAAAATTAATATACAAATCTTATTTTTGATCAAATTTTTTAATTTATATAATATAATACATAGAGTACATACATATATGGATGATTACATATAGATACAACTATAAGTATATTTAAAATTATATTTTTATCTTTGTTTTCTTTACCAACTTCAATGATTGAATTGAATATAATTCATATACTCACCGCTTTAAATTGTAGAGGGCATACTAAACGTTTTGATTTTTTATGCAGTCGGTAATTCATTTTATATGATATGAAATTTCATAAGATGAAACCATAGAATCGTTTATGTTTATACTTCATTCATGACAAGGAACAGCCAATTCATTGGTGGAATTGTAGCTAATTCAATCTTTTGTGTACATTCTAAATGCGATATTAATTACTAATTAAATTTTTATATATTGAAATTAACTTTTAGTTTAGGCTGAATTTACAATGTCTAAGATTGTTGTAGTTTTATTAACTCTATCTTTTAAAATATTTCACTCAAAAGGAAATCAAAATTATGTTAAAATATTTATAATTTTATCATAAATTTATCATAAATTTTCAAAATTGGTAAATTTGAATTTTATTCATTGACAGATAAAAAAAATAGATAAGAAATTAATAATTTTTAAAAATGAACTTTAACTGAAAATTATATTTAATAAAATTACACATACAATTATGAACAATTACATATAATATAATTATAAACAGAATGCATTCTTAAAAGTTCAAAATTTATTTATTTAAATTAATTTAATTATTATTACAATATATATATATATAATTTATAATAAATATAATAAATTAATTCATTAAATTTTTTATATCTATAATACAAAAATCATAATTATATTTAATTTATTTAATTTTTCTAATATTATTTTGACTATTATAATATTTATTTATTGGAGAATAAACTGAAATATTGATCGACTGTAGATAAAAATATAATAGTTTGATAATGTTAATTATTGAGATATATAATATAAATATGTTTTATTTTTATTAAATATGAAAATAATTAGTGCATGTATAGTTATATTTTGCATTTTTAAAATAATATTTTATGAAAATGTTATATATCATTCAATGTAATATATGCACATACTATAATCTTGAATGTAATTTATTTATTTTTGCATTAATCATTGAAGTGTTTTTTGAAAAATGATATGTATGATATTTGCTAAAACATGATACAAAATATAATATATATATTATAATATATAATATCAAACAATATTCTTATATTTTTCATATTTAAGAAAAAAATGAAGTGAAGAATTTAGAATATGTCAAATTATATCTTATTTTAAGATCATATATTATAATATATGTTTCGATTCATTTTAATATTCCTTTTTTTAAATATCAATTTCTTTTTAATAAAAATAATGAAATATAATATTAATAAATACTACGTTTTTATTTACATTTTATTTTCTTTTATGTGAAAACAATTTTTCATAACAATAGTTGTATAAATATAATATTTTATTTTTCTTATCTTACAATTTTTATGCTCACTTAATATATTATTTTTTTACTAAATAATAAAAAAAAATATAATATAAAATAATTCAAAATCAATATTTTTCAAATATTGTAATTTTTTAAAATTTTAAGAAGTTTTAAAAAAAATTGAAAAAAAAACAAAAAATACTAAATTAGGAAAAATAGACATATTAAATTTGTGATTATAATTTTTCGCATGAAAAAATTAATTTAAATCTAATCAGAATTGTCTTTTCTTTCTTACTTATGTTATAATTGATTTATTTTATTAGAATTTATTTGTGATTTATTTGTAATGAAAGTATAAATGTAAAGGAATTAAAAAAAATTAAAAAGAATAATAATTATAATAAAAATTTATAATTACAAAATTCGCAGATAAAATGAGATGATATATAATGTATTTTTCTGCTTTCTTTATTTTTATGTTTTATTTAATGTAAACTTGAATAATTTATAATTTAAAAAATATTTGCCTATAATTTAAAATATAATATTTAATAATATATCTGAATTAATAATATTTATATACCAATTTTCGTTTATGTTTGTTTTATCTTGAAGAATAGAAGTAGAACTTTTTTGAAGAATTTCACGAATTTATTAACATCGTGTATGAATCTATAATTATTGAATATATATAATGTATTATATAAGAAGGAAATGCCGAACTCTTATTTAAAGATAAATTTTTATTTAAAGATATTTTTTAAGACATTTTTATTTATGATAAGAAAAAGATAAATTTCAACACTATTTTTTATTAGAATATTTTTAAGTATATTCTATTAAAATTAAATATAATAATTTTGTTTAAATGTAATGTAAATATTATTTAGTTAAAATTTTCTATTTTGTTTGTTCATTATATTGATTG